CATACGTACATACATACATACATACATACATACATACATACATACATACATACATACATACATACATACATACATACATACATACATACATACATACAAACATACATACATACATACATACATACATACATACATACATATATACATACATATATACGTACATACGTACATACAAACAATATTTTCTGCACTCCTATGCACGCATATAATGACGGTGCACGCACCTGCGTATGCTGTCATATAACAAACTCACTCACTCACTCGCATATTCAGCATACATATGCCCGGACGAAACCTTTGGGACAGTACAATAGGTGCATCAGGCGAGCTTTCCCTTTTTTGTACACACACATGGGCCTTGTTTGTGTTTGGTACAAGTGACATATCCGCTCTAAAACCCTAAAACCCTAAAACCCTAAACCCTTCTGCGTCGGCCATGTACTCTTTCACCCGATTGAGTTGTGATCACATACACAGCCACCACCACACACCGTAAACACCCGTCTCACCATCACGTGTGCAAAGACAAGCGACTGAACATAAACATACACACACCCTTCTCGCAAACACCTCTCATAAACACGTGTGCACAGACAAGCGACTGAACATGAACATACACACACCCCTTTCACACACATCACTCACACACCCCTCTCACACACCCCTCTCTCACACACGTGTGCACAGGCAAGCGACTGAACATTGTCATAGTAGCTGAGGGGGCCATTGACAAGAATTGCAAAGAAATCTCGTCGGCGTATGTGCGGGATGTGATTGTGGAGCGGCTGTCGCATGACACACGCATTACCATTCTCGGTCATGTGCAGAGAGGTGGCAGAGCAAGTGCTTACGACCGCCTGCTGGGCTCCGTGTCTGGGGCGGCGGCTGTGGAGAAAGTATGTCGTTAATGCGTCGTTAATGCGTCGTTAATGCATCATTTATGTGTCGTTAATGCGTCGTTAATGCGTCGTTAATGCGCCATTTATGTGTCGTTAATGTGTCGGTAATGTGTCGTGAACATCACTGTGGGTAGCTATGCATGTGGTGATTGTTCTCGAGCAGTGTGCAGCGTACGGTTGGCATGGGCCGAAGATCACTTGAGTGGTGCCGTGTCTTGTACTGCTGTTGTAACTACTGCTATATAACTTGCTTATGTACCGATATATTAAACGGTTGCATTAACTGATTCATACATGTGCACTCACTCTTATATGAGCTTCTGTACCTACCTACAGACAGATAGAGTCATGCAAGTACCCTTGTGTCGCTTAGGTAATAGTCTTAGTGCGTGCATGTCCAATATAGACACAACAACGTGACTAAATATATGCCCCACACGGAATACCCCGACATGATCCGCAATTTAAAGTATTATATATATATATATATACTTATACATTGCACACACGTATCCTGACCTTCCGCCCTTCCCACCATCGCAGCTGCTGACCGCCAAGCCAGGGGACGCTGCGACCATTGTGGGGGTGCGTGGGATGGAGATAGTGTATGAGCCGTTGGTAGAGACAGTGCAGGCCACTCAGCTGGTGGCTGAGCTCACGGCACAGCAGAACTTCAAAGCCGCCATCAAGGCACGCGGAAAGAACTTTGACCGCGACTACGAGTTCCACAAGGACATCAATGGCACAAATCCCAAGGTAGGGTCATAGGGTTTAGGTTTTTGTTTTGTGCTTTGTATGTACCTGGCTGTTTAGTGGTACAAGCGCCTGAGCTGCAGTGAGAGTGCGGCTTAAAACTCGGATTGTATGTAGGATTGTAGGGTTGTCTAGTGCTCTCCGCATGAGGACTGGTAGTCAAACACTGGGCAACACGTGCGTTTGTTGTTGGCACCTTACACCACCCACACAACAACCCACCCATCACACCTGCACTCAATTACATCTGCAGTCCCTGCCCTCTTAT